TGAATCGGGTTACGATTAAATCCCGATACCCAATACCACGCGCCGACGAACTCATCGACCAGCTTCGCGGAGCAAAAATCTTCTCGAAAATCGACTTGCGAGGGGGTTACCATCAGATTCGCGTCGACGAAGCAGATTGCTACAAGACCGCGTTTCGTACCCGGTACGGGAGTTACGAGTACACAGTCATGCCCTTCGGTCTGACAAACGCGCCCTCGACCTTCCAGCTGACCATGAACGAGATTTTTCGGCCACTGTTGGACAAGTGCGTAATAGTGTACTTAGACGATATCCTCGTCTATTCCACCACCCGGGAGCAGCACTTAACAGACCTCGACCAAGTCTTCACACTACTGCAGCAGAATCGCCTCATCACCAAGGGCTCTAAGTGCGAGTTTTTAAAACCCGAACTGGAGTTCCTCGGCCACATCATCTCTGTCGAAGGCGTTAAAATCGACCCCACGAAGATCAGCACCATTCAAGAATGGAAGCCGCCGTCTAATTTGCGGGAACTCCAAAGTTTTTTGGGGTTCGTGAATTACGTCCGCCGGTTCATTCCGAACATGGCGGGGGTGACTTCCCCGCTCACGGACCTGCTGAAGAAAGGCGCGTTTTTTGAATGGGGGGGAGAGCAGCAGGCTGCGTTCGACGCACTCAAACTTTTTTTGACGACCCCGCCGGTTCTTCGGATAGCTGATCCTCACCGTCCGTTCGAGCTCGTCACCGACGCGAGCGACATTGCTGTCGGCGCGGTGCTGTTACAAGACTTCGGCGACGGACTCCAGCCCATCGCCTACGAATCCCGCAAGCTGAACCCGGCTGAGCGAAATTATCCGGTTCATGACAAGGAGTTACTGGCGATCGTCCACGCGTTCAAAACCTGGCGCTGCTATCTAACCGGGGCCGACGTAACAGTACGGACAGACCACAAGTCACTACAGTTCATTCGCGCACAACCGACACTGAACCCACGACAGACCCGTTGGCTCGACTACCTCGAGTCCAATTTTCACTACAGGGTCACCTACAAACGGGGGGCAAATAACATCGCCGACGCCCTGACCCGTCCATCTGCCCACACCGCCGATGTACTGATTACCCAGATCAACCCACTATTAACCGGCCTATTCACCCACGGCTACAACACTGATCCGTTCTTCACCACCAGCATCAACGGCCCACTCGTCACTAAGCAAGGACCCTATTATCTAAAATCCGGTACCAATCGGATTTGGGTCCCTGCTTATCGGCTACTGCGGGAACTACTGATACAGAAAGCCCACGACTCCAACCTCTCGGGTCACTACGGGGTCGACAAAACTGCAAAAACTCTGGGCCGTCATTATTACTGGCCGGAGTTAACCCACGACGTGCAGCGGTATGTCACCTCGTGCGCCACGTGTCAGCTGATGAAGTCCTCCCGCCTCCGGCCAGCTGGATTGCTGCAACCGCTCGCGCCACCTACCAGACCCTGGCAACAAGTGACGATGGATTTCGTCACAGGATTACCGGCCGGCCCCAGTGGTAACGACGCGATTCTCGTCGTCGTCGATCGCCTGACCAAGATGGCCCACTTCGCTGCATGCAGGACGACGATTACGGCCGAAGAAACTGCCAAATTATTCCTGGCGACTGTCGTCCGCCTCCACGGCATCCCATCGGCGATCATCAGCGACCGAGACCCGCGCTTCACGTCCAACTTCTGGACGAAAACGTGGGACCAGTACGGCACGCGCCTGCACCTATCGACGGCCTACCATCCTCAATCGGACGGCCAGACCGAGCGGACAAATCAGACACTGGAGCAGCTGATACGCACCACATGCACCGACCCGACACAGTGGGAAGAATCTCTTCCCTTGATTGAGTTCGCGTACAATAATGCTCCTTCGGCGACGACCAACCAATCACCGTTCTTCCTGAATTACGGGCTAGACCCTGTGACCCCGCTGTCGCCACCGATCGAAAATCCGGCACCAAGGTCGCAGCGTTTCGTCGAGACTTTACGTAAGCATTAGCAAAACGCCGCCGAAGCCATTAACAAAGCCAATCAGATCGCTAAGCGGAATGCTGACCGAAGACGACGGGATCTTCCCCTCGCACCAGGGCAATTAATCCTGCTCGACACCAGAAATTTGGGGGTGCCTCTCCCAAATAAACTACGCCCAAGATTTTGCGGACCCTTTCGCATTCTACGCATGGTGACACCTGTCACCGCCCAGCTGCTACTCCCTGACGACTGGCGAATACACGACTCCTTCCACGTCAGTCTCCTGCGACCGTTTGTCTCCAACACGAGCGATCTCGACCGTCAACGCCTATATCCGACGGTTCGCCCGGTTCCCGAACCCACGACCGAACCGGATAAAATTCTGGCTCACAGGGTCCGGGGACAACGAGCTTCAGCAGCCGTCGATTTCCTGGTCCGATGGGTCGATCGCACGAGCGAAGATGACCTCTGGATCTCGGCCGACACTCTCGGCTCACACCCTGCAGTTCGGGACTATTTACGCCGACGACATGTCCCAGATGTGGGTAGTCTCATCTCGGGAGGGGGGGTGGTGTAAGGAAAATCCTTTTCCTTACTGAGCTCAGCCACAGCGCGTACGCCCTCGGACTTCGGAAGGCTAGGCTCGGCCTAACTTTTCGGTCCCGAACCACTCTAGCGCAACCAAACCTAAATATGGGGCTGTTCCGTGGCTTTCGTCACCCGAGTCGCCCCAACCTAGTTGCGAGGTTCTCGGCTAGCGTAGTTGTGCCGTAGCCTTTCATTTGTATTCGGACTCTTGAGTCACGTCCTGTTATTGAATTCCGCGCTACTACTCTGATTCGATACATAACACGGTACCCCAACTCAACAGCCCTGCACTCTTTAGTGTCCCCTGCCTCGGGTTTACTGAGGTTGCCTGGTCGAAGTGCCTGCTTTTCCTAAACGAGCCGTTGTTCGTCGCGGCATTGACGCGGCTCGATCTCCGCCCTTCGTTTTCCACTCTCTGTTGCTGTCTTCATGTCAGCGCTCGTCTAGCGACCCAGAGATTCTTAGTTACTAACGAGCATGCGCCACTGCCGTGCACACTGTCGACCGTTCCAGCAGCTTCTGTACTCGTTACAAGCTAATCGACGGCATGATCTCTGCCGCGAATTCGCCAGTGCAGTGGACGTCAGCGGCGGGGGATTCGCGAGAGCAGCGCAATCCGCGGCGGAGAGAGCTGCGGGGAACGCGCTGAGAGTTATTAGTCCATCGGCAGCACCATCAAACCAGCACCCTCCTCTCAACTCAGCACCTCTGCACCATAATTTCATCACCCTAGATACGAATGCCTTCAGTTCATTGCGTTGCGCGTACGAGCATGCGAATTCAGGAACCTCCAGTCTCGCGTCGCTCGTGCCCCAGCGAACGGCCGAATCGCCACGATCAGATAGTATCTCGAGATCACCAGCCGCAGTAGTTGCTGGCGATCCACGAGTGCTATGTCGAAACGTGGATCTGTCGAGTATTCGCTGCGTCGATACAAGAAGGCTCGCTTCTAGCGCTCGTCTACACTCAGCAAATCCAGACGCTGCCGCTCCGCCAACCCCTCGAATCTGCTCCGCCTTCGTTCCTTCCGCAGATCCAACTGTGCCATACCCCCTCGCGCACCCCCAACCCCGCCCGCAGTTCCTCCCCCACTCCCATTTTCACACCTTCTCTCACTCCCACTCTCACGCCTTCTCTCGTATGCGAAGAAGAATCGTCCCCCGCTTGATCTCTGGGGTGCGCCCGCCCAGCATCAACGGATCAGGAGTTGCTCTTCGTAGCGCGGCGTTAGGATTCGGATCCGTGCACGGCTCCTGGTCGGGTAGCAGCAGCAGCAGCAGCAGTAGCAGCAGTCTGAGTGGCGGCGCCGCTTCTTCCGCCGCTTCTACCGCGCTTGGTAGTGGGGGATTAGGATTCAGATTCGGCCATGGCTCTTGGGCGAGTAGCAGCAGCAGCAGCAGTCTCAGTGGCGCCGGCAGTGGCGGCGGCGGAGGCGGAGGGTTTCTGGGTTTCTCGTCGCCTTCCAAGAAATTTCAAGAGAAACGCTTGATTGGGTGGGTACCCGGCTCCTCGCCTGCTGATTGGTTGGGTGCGTGCTGACGAGTCAAAAGATCCACGGGGGCCTCATAAGGAGCTTCCAGACGTCTCAACTCCCGTCCACTCCTCTCAACCCCCCCCAACTCCTGGCAACTCCCTTCTGCGCTGCCCTGGCCCATGAACCATGACACACATGACCAGTGAACCCCCCTCTGCCGACCGTAAAGAGGTTATTTTTGAGACGTCTCAAAAATTACCTCTTTACACGGTGCGTTGCAGCACCCTGACGCCAAAGCATGTGCTGCTCCCCTTTTACCACCTTCCCCCACTCACTCCCCTCCCTCCCCCCCCCGCCCCCAGGTACACGCCAGAGCAGGTGTTTGACGTGGTGGGCGGGGTGGAGCGCTACTCTCGCACTTTCCGCCTTGGTGTGTGGGCTCGCACGTGCTGTGGCGGGCACCCCACCGCATGACCTGTCCCCACCTTCCCCACCCCTTCCCCGTCCCCCCACCTTCCCCACCCCTTCCCCGTCCCCCCACCTTCCCCACCCCTTCCCCGTCCCCCCACCTTCCCCACCCCTTCCCCGTCCCCCCACCTTCCCCACCCCTTCCCCGTCCCCCCACCTTCCTCACCCCTTCCCCGTCCCCCCACCTTCCCCACCCCTTCCCCGTCCCCCCACCTTCCCCACCCCTTCCCCGTCCCCCCACCTTCCTCACCCCTTCCCCGTCCCCCCACCTTCCCCACCCCTTCCCCGTCCCCCCACCTGCCCCACCCCCACAGTTACACGCCAGTCCCCACCCCTTCCCCGTCCCCCCACCTTCCCCACCCCTTCCCCGTCCCCCCACCTTCCTCACCCCTTCCCCGTCCCCCCACCTTCCCCACCCCTTCCCCGTCCCCCCACCTTCCCCACCCCTTCCCCGTCCCCCCACCTTCCCCACACCCACAGTTACACGCCAGAGCAGGTGTTTGACGTGGTGGCCGGGGTGGAGCGTTATGCGGACTTTCTGCCGTGGTGTGTGGGCTCGCACGTGCTGTGGCGCGCACCGGATGGCATGGAGGCGGAGCTGGAGATCGGGTTCCACATGCTGAGAGAGAAGTACCTCTCACTGGTTACTTACAAGCGACCTGTCTTCGTGACGGTGAGCACTATTCTGACTTCCTCTGCTGGTGTGTTGGTTTCCATGTGTTGTGGCGGGCACCGGACGGCATGGAGGCGGAGCTGGAGATCAGGTTTCACATGCTGCGGGAGAAGTACCTGTCGCGGGTCACCTACAGGCGCCCGCTCTTTGTAACCGTGAGTGCTCTGAAACCGCTTCTGGCTGCCGTCAAGGTGTGGTGGTGCAGGGAGCTTCTGGGAACGCATGCAGACGGAGCTGGAGATGGGGTTTCACATGCTGCGCGTCACCTGCAAGCGACCAGTACTTGTAACGGAGCGTGAGGGTCGTCTGTAACGGAGCGTGAGGGTCGTCTGTAACAGAGCGTGAGGGTCGTCTGTAACGGAGTGTGAGGGTCGTCTGTAACGGTGAGCGTTGTGCTGGAGCTGAGTCAGGGCGACTCTTCCACCAGTCGTTGGGCCGGCCGACCGACCACCCCTCACACCTCATGTCAAGCGTCTGTCTGACGTCTCCTCTCAGTGCCTTCCTGAATTCTCTTCCCTCCTCCCACCGCTCCCACCCGCCAGGCGCGTTCCACTGACACGGGGCTCTACTTTTGAAGCGCCTCAAAAGTAGACCTTCCGAATGCTATTCCACCACCTAGACAATCACTGGGAGGCTTCCCCTGCTCATACCCCCCCTGACCTTTTCACATATCTCTCCATATCCACTCTGCTCGTCTTGCCCCTTCCCCCCCTCCAATCCCCCCAGGCTCATTCCATGGATACAGGCCTCACTTCCAGGATCTGGGAGGTCGCCCCAAAGCTCAGAACCGCCCCGTACCACACATGAACCCCCTCTTACCTCTGCCCTTTCAGGCTCGTTCACCGGACACAGGCCTCACTTCCACCATTTGGACAACCACTGGGAGTTTGCCCCAAAGCTCACAACCCCCTGCCCTTGCTAAACCTCTCTCTCTCATCTCCACCCTTTCATTCCGCTGCTTTCCTTTCAGGCTCGATCCACCGACACAGGCCTCTTTCACCATCTGGACAACCACTGGGAGCTTGCGCCTGGCCGCCACCCCGGCTCCTGCCTGCTCTCCTCATTGCCTTTCTGAACGCACTTCCATCCTGCCCCTCCTACCCCTCTCCTCCCTCATTCCCTCAGGCTCGATCCACCGACACGGGTCTATTCCACCATCTGGACAACCACTGGGAGTTCTCCCCTGGTCGCTTCCCTGGCTCCTGCCTGCTCTCCTTCTCCGTTGACTTCCAGTTCCGCTCGCTGCTCTACACCCAGGTGGGCTGGGCTCTACACACCCAGGTGGGCTGGGCTCTACACCCAGGTTATCTAAGGTGGATTTAGATGCACCCAAGCTCCACAACACACAAGTCCATGCGTCTCATAACACTACTTCATACACGTAACATTGTCACATTTGTTCTGAGATGAGTAGTTCACCTTAGAGCGTGTTCCTACACCTCTTATCAGAGACTCCTCTTATCAGCTTTGTGTGGCTCAATACGTTTCAGTGTGTTCGACTGCGGTACAAAGCGTTTCAGTGCGGTTCGACGCGAATCTGACAATAGGTTGCCTGACAAGAGGCTGTAGGAACACGCCCTTAGAGTGTGTTCCTACGGGCCCTTGTCAGGCCGCCCTCTTGTCAGACTTGGTCCTTCGAGCGATTTCGTTATTAACACCGTTTTCCAGACATAGAAAAACAACAGTTCTGTGCGACGAATTGGTCGCGCAAAACTTTCACACTTGCTGTTTCAGCAAACCAGGGTCAGTCATTCTTTTGAGGCGGCCCAGAAGTCTTTCACACGTGCTGTTTCAGCGAACCAGGGTCAGTCAATCGCACGAAGCACGCGTGAAAGGACCCTCTTTTGTCGGGCCTGAAGCAGATGAGGATTTGTCAGCCACCAAGCGCACGTTTCAATCACCTGTGGTTTGTCAGGAGGACTTGAAAAATCATTGTTCCTTCGCAACCTTGCAGGGCGGGAGCATTGCGCAGTGCCACGTCACCCCACCCCACGCATTTTGTTGCACACTTCGCCAAGCAACAATAAGTGAAAAAAAAAGTGGATTTTGAGCCGAAACATTGGTGTTTTAGGCGAGTCTGACAAGGCACCAGGAGCCGAAACATTGGTGTTTTAGGCCGTAGGAACACGCTCTTGGTAGATCAGAGGCACTCATATTGTTGACTTCAGCTTTTGGCAGATTCTCCTCGCCGTACGAAGCTTCCTCTGCGGCGGTTAACCGCTAGCGAAATGCTGCGTTTTGTTTTGTTTCGTTCTATTCTGGTTTCTTCTGCGTCGTCCCTGCAGTTTCTGGACCTCTTTTTTGACGAAGTGGTGAGCAGTCTTGTCAACTCGTTTGAGCGACGGTGCGAGGAAATTTATGGTCCGAGTAAGGTAGTTATGACGATTTAGTGTGTTTATTTTTTAGGTGACGCCTTTCCCAACAATTTAGAAGTTAACTTGGACATGAAAGCATGGAGTGGTTGTAGCATGGAAATTTTATATTTTATTTGATATCTTAATTTTTGTTTCGTACAGTTGTATGTGTGTACACCAATCTGGACTAGGTGTACATGAGTGTGGTGTGATGAATGATGTGGTCGATGCTTTGCTGATGCTGACCTCTAGCATCAAGCCATGTGGCTGTGCTTGGCTGTCTCAGCTTTACAGCTTGGACTTGCCTTCGTTCCTACACCCTAATGCTCACTCAACTGCCCACTCTGAACACGCTCGCTGCCCCTCCATACGCCCAGTGGTCGACATTCACAGCCAACGGCCCGCGCGTTACTAGCCCACGACAAAACCAAGATGTTCGAGCTTCCCAGACAAAACACGCTGGGCTACCCACAATTTCCGCAACTGTAGTTTTTTTGTCAACCTTTGTTCCACATTCAGTCCCATTCTGCCCCTAGTGAACGCATGCTCGAGAGAGGAGCACAGAAAAAGATGGGGAAGGGGACTGAAATGGGCATCATGTGTAGAGATATGCTACTTGTGGAGGAAATGTGGAAGTTTGACGATATTCGCGACCGCTTCGCATAAAGCTGCGCCACCAAGCGCGGCTCGAAGAGACTTATGGCATGGCTTCTTGTGGCCGTGGATGACATGCATGGGCCCCCTTTTGCCCCTACACGAACGGCCAAGATTGGTCTTGTCAGGTTCAGGCGTTCTGGAACTGGAAGGCTTCACTCGGCCACGCGGTGCGCACGCGCACCACAATCGCACACGCTTTGCCCAGGGTTGAGGCAGTTGCTCGACTCACGCGCACGAGACTGCGGGGGAACGAAGGCAAGGGGGAAGCGGGGAAAGGTGGCTTCGCGCAGTGGTCCGTCTGGAAGAGAACCCAACTAGGCCGGGATGGGGCGGAGGCGGAACAAAGAGCCTCTCTGCGCGGCGGAGCTTGCTCTGGGGGAGGCCTCTCCCGAGTCCTGGCTCGGCTCCAGTGAGGGAGCACGATTGTAGCGAGAACGCAACGAGTTTTGTATAAATTTCAGTTCCTCACGCATTTTCAGAATCAGGGTGCAGATTCCATTCTCCCACCAATTCCATCCTCCCACCAACACCGAGCTCTTCTTTCTCCACTCCAACTCTGCACCTGCGCTACCATTCACTCTTCACGCTACCTGAGCATTCTCCGCCATGGCGTCTCGTAAGGTGCTCCTCTGCCTTGCGCTTGCACTTGCGGTGCTTGCATTGGCGGCGCCGCTCGCCTTCGGAGCTGACGCGAACGTCCTGGGAGGTGAGAAACGCACATTGTCTCAAATTCCCCGGTTATGTGCATCATCCGTCGTTTACAACACAATGCAGCTTCCCACCCGTTCGTTCGAACGAAATTTTACTCACTGAGAACGAGCGACCGCATATGCGGCATTTTTTCCCGTTTTTTGCAGGCGCCAACTCGAAGCTCAAGGTGAGCCGCCGCGCGCTGTCCGACGACCACCACGACGACGGACACGACGACCACCACGACGACCACCACGACGACCATCACGACGACTCCGACGACGACCATCACGACGGCGACGACGACCACCACTACTACAAGTCGCCGTCCAAGTCGCCCAGCAAGTCGCACGACTCCGACGACTGGTACCACCGTTCGCCATCCAAATCCCCTTCCAAATCTCCGAGCAAGTCTCCCGGCAAGTGGCACGACTCCTCCTCCGACGACAAGTGGCACCGGTCGCCGTCGCCCAAGTCGCCGTCGCCCAAGTGGCCGTCTCCTAAGTCGCCGTCGCCCAAGTCGCCTGGCAAGTGGAACTCGCCGAGCAAGTCGCCTGGGAGCAAGCACGACGACGACCACCCCTGGAAGTCACCGTCCAAGTCGCCGTCCAAGTCGCCTGTGTGGGGCAAGTCGCCTGGCAAGGACCACGACGATGACCACCACTGGGGCGGCAAGTCGCCGTCCAAGTCGCCGTCCAAGTCGCCTGTGTGGGGCAAGTCGCCTGGCAAGTACCACGACGACCACGATGACGACCACGACGATCAGCACGAGCGCCACTACAGCGCCGGAAAGCCCAGGTGGCAGCACAGTTACTAGTTGGAAACACACGGAAACCTCGAGCGACGGCTGAGCGGAAACACGCTGGAGGATCCATTTCGGCCAGTGGGCTTCGTGGGCTTTGATGTTCTGTGACTGATTCCAGTGCTTCAGGGTCGTGTTAGAACCCTGTAGCTTCTGTGGTTGATTTCTGTGTGCGGGAGCTTTGGAGTGTGGGTCTTAGGTGTGTGGGGCTTTGGTTTCTTTTCTAAACGTGCGGGATGAAGTTTTAGTCAGGGGACTTGTTTGAGGGAATAATACATATTTTTTTACAATGCGTTTTGGGGGGCATACAATGCGTCACTAGATGGCGATGACTGTATGGTGTGAAGGGACCTCCTGCAGTGAAGGGCCGTACGGTATTAGCTTCATAACGAACCGCAGAGTCCAGCATCTCAACTCAACTCAACCTCGAGGCGCTTCTCAAGACCAGGTTGAGCTCGTGTCTGTCATCACTTCCAGAAAACGGTCCCATTCAATATGACACCATGAACATCCAATGTTCGCAGCTCTTATTACGGGTACCTATGTCCAACAGTGCCCATGTACCAGAAAATTTTTACCTAGCTTGTAGAGTAGCACGGGGTATTTTGTGACCAAGAATGGGATTTGACAAGCTCCTGGGAATGCTGGGTAGTTGCGCACTCAAATTTTATTGCATATATGAAGTCTTACAAATGGAGAGGCGGGCCCAGTTGCCAGCTCAGGCCACCTCCCCTGAACCATTAGCGAGCTGCCTAATTAGCATCAGTCAGAGCACCCTTAGAGGCTGCCTGGCTCTTTGAGGCTAAAAGATACTAACCCCATTCTCCAGCACAATGGACACATACCGTAGCTGCAGTTGCTGCTCTTTTTCTCTAGATCTGAGTACCATTTCGTGGTGATGACCAGCACCACAAGAAAAGCGTGTAGCTTCATGCCAAGTTGTACCTGCATTGTCCAACAATGCACTGTACCGGCATACTACAGCTTGTAGAGTAGCACTGGGCATGAAGATGACCTAACGAGCTCCTGGGAACGCTGGGTCATTGTGCACGCAAAATTTATTGCATATATAAACAGACTTACAGGGGAGAAGCAGGCCCAGCTGCTAGCTCAGACAACGTTTCCTAAACTACACGCGAGCTGTTTAGATGGCATCAGTCAGAGCACCCTTTTGAATCATCTCCCTGATCTCGTCATTGCACGCGCGGTCCAAGGCCGTCCGTCCCTCCCAGTCGGGCACGTCGCACCGCGCACCAGCGTACAGGAGCTCCTCGATCTTCCGCACATCGCCTTCCGACGCAGCCATCATGAGCAGAATGTCGCACGCGTGCGTTCCGGACTCGATCATCTTCTCCATCTTCTCGTACGTCCCCTCGGCGGCGAGCATGCCGGAGTAGTTGAAGTACTGCTGGAGGAAAGTTTTATTTGGGAGAGAAATTAAGCTATGCGCGAATCTTAGTACTGCGTGCGTTTCTCCATTGTTTGTAGCACGATACCGAAATATGGGATTGAACAAGAGTCATGACAGGGAGGCACTTGAGGGAAGTAAGAAACAATGGAACTGGGACCCAACGGTGAGCAAAACAGATCGTGGAGAGCAAGTAGCGCGGCACTTACGTGGGCAACGTCGTCAGCGTCATAGTCATCGCGAAGTTGGCTGGCAAAGATGCCGGCGCTCTTGGCGCTCTCTCCGCCGAGCTTGAAGAACGCGACTGTGCGAGCAGTGGATCTGACGCCGAAAGCAGCCGTGGCTGATTGCTGGCGCACACCTGAGGTGAATTTGGTGAAGAAAGGACGATCCAAAAGGTTGGTTTGTTATCTGATAGTAAACTATCAAAACGCTTCAAATAAGCCATTGAGGGTTGATGAGTAAAAAAACACGCAGTCCAGTTGATCAGCAAGCTGGCGTCCTATACCTGCGAAGGAGGACGTGAGGTTCGCCCTCTGAGCCGGGAAGGAAGCGGCAGCGATAACGCCAGAGACAAGCTTAGCAGCAGCCATGGTGGTAGCAGCCATTGTAGTAGTTATGGATCGTGGAGCAGACAAGTGAAGAAGCTGCTACGTTGATGGCTGTTGGAAGGAGAAGCGAGTTTCCTGTTGGATCTGTGAGCTCGAAAGTTTGCTTTGAAAGATGTAGTGGAATCTGTGAAGAGATTATACACAGCGGTTGGGTGAAAGGAGATTCGCGACAACGGCTGCGAAGGCATTTGCGAGAAGCAGCGAACTTTGCGCGATACGGCATTCTCCATGATTGCCTCCGTTGATTGCTCGAGCCGCGGGGCTTGATTGGCGAAGTGGTCGACATCCAGAAATTGCCAGCGCATAGGCTTCCCGCCATCTCATTTGCTCATTGAAACGTTCAGTACACGTGTGAAGCAGTTTTTGCCACGTGTTTGCTCCTCTATGGGGCTCCTCGGGCCCCCCTTCCCATTAGCCAGTGCTTATATCTACTAGAAAACGTGCGCTGTCACACGTCACGATTGCATGAGAATCCAGTAGCTATACAGGGTACAGAGGCAATTAAGGATCCATATATACGACGGTTAATCAATCAACTGCATAAACACGTAAAGAGTAATTAACCACCCAAATAAGTGTCAAACACATCTTATGGTTAGTGATTGCATCATACAATAACCACGCTTACAAAACATCTCTGAGTTGGCCTTGTTACTAATGCACTAGACAGTGTGAGTTTGCTTCACAACTTTTATTGTGGTGGTGCATGCCCTCTTTATCAGGGTCGCACTTCTTTATTCTGTTACCCTAGGGCCAACTAATCCCTGTGCTCCTCCCGCATCTTCTCCTCCCTCATCTTCTCCTCTCTTTCCCTGTCCTTCGCCATGTCCTTCTTCTTGTTCTTCCGAAACCCCTTCAAGTTGTTCCGCCACTTGCAATGCGACTGCTGCGGGGCGCACATCTCTCTCCTCGGATCCGTAAGTGTGAAATTCCACAGCTCAGGCGGCTGATTCTCCTCCATAAGCAGCTCCATCCTGTACTCGATACCAGCCTTGTCGTTATTCTTAGGAAGACAGTGCTCCTGTAGCTCCTCGGACATCGAATCGTGCAGCGTAAACCACAGCTTATGCGCGCCGTGATGCACAAACCTCCTGTGCGTGTTCATAACAATGTTACAGTCGAAGTCGCGGTAACACCGCCAGGGTTTCTTGCCCAGGAAATGCAGCGCGTGAATGGTGGGCGGATCGGACGCGATGAGCGAATCTAGGGTTTCCGTCTCGAGATCGCGCTTGGGGCTGTCGTCCGCGTTGATGTATTTGAGAGTGTTGATGGACTTGGGCAGGCGGTGCCACCAGTAAAACACGTCGTTCACGAAGCCCTGTGGCGGATAAAAGGGAGTTTGGGGTGGTAAGCAGGGAGCAGAAGAGAGTATGTCCAAGTGCCACGAGCAAGATCGCACAATCGTATCCAGCATGAGGGGAGGTATGCGATTACGGAGAGCAGGTACACAGAGAGCAGACACACTCGCTATTGAATGCGCCAATACTAACCTGATCGCCACCGTTGTAGGACTGAATCAGTTCAATGTTTTCCATCATAAGCTCGAATGTACACTGCGACGGCTCAATCACCATCACGCCCGAGTTGAAGAAGCGCCGGCTGTTGCTGCGCGCCGACAGCTCGGGGTACTCGAACAGGTGGTCCATGTTTCTTAAAACGAGGATATCCGCGTCCACGAACACCACCTTTGCATACTCCGTCAGCTGCCACAATCGGAGCTTGCTGTAACGGGACGTCGACGGTCAGCAAGCGGAGAGAGGGGAGAGCAGGCTCGAATGAGTGATTCAGCAAATAACAACAGACGAGAGCGAAGGATCTGTTCTTTGGTGATGAAATGGGTCGCCCTGGAGACATGTTTCAGTCAGTCCGGTTCACGTGTAGGGAAGGCGCTGGAAATAAGAAAAAACTGGCACGAGTTCTTTGCTGTAGATTGACATGTAGAAGCCGCACCTGTAATTCCACTGGTTGTACGTGCCGGCGCGTCCGTACGGGTTGCGTATCCTCTCAATATCAATCAGCCGCCACCCCGCCGCCTCTAGGCCTCCGCGGCTGAAGTTCCCGATCTCCGTGGAAACCAGCGCTACCAGGTTCGCGCGCGTTCCGCTCCGCCGGAGGCTGTTCGCCAGCGCGATCGCTCCGCACACGTAATCCTCCTTGCTGTGCAGCACTGTAGCATACGCGACTCGGCGCGCAGCGGCCGGCTGCTGATCTGGCAGCAGCTGGGGTTCCGGGGTGGCGAGCGCGCAGTTCCCAACGGGCTGCAGCCGGCGGCGCATGTCGGCGACCGTCAAGTTAAAGAGCCAGACGGGCCCGTCGCGGTGCACTAGCCGGTTGCAATGGAAGAGGTTGGGCGGAGGGCGGCAGTCGGAGAGAACGACCACGGGCATCCAGGAGTGCGCGGACTGAAGAGGACGGGAGGGGAGCATGGGGGACGGGGGAGGAACGTAGTGAGTGAGGGGTGTAAGAGGACGTCGGAGAAAACGATCACGGGCATTTGAATGAGGGACATGTGAGGTGGGGGGGAAGGGGGAGGTGCGATGACGGTAATTTTCAATGAGCGAGACAGGGCGAGAGAGACAGAGGGAGGGTGAAAGCGCGAACGGCGGTTTCGGTGACAACGATCGCGAGCATTCAGTATGGACACAAGGACCAGGAAACGGTGGCTCAAACCGCATAAGTAAGCTAGAGTGCACCAGACTTACCTGTTTGACATATTCGGCGACTGTAAGCACCAGCTGGTGCCATCTCACGTCCCTCGCGAACGACCCGTTGACGGGTTGGCACGGCATATGCGCGATCATTGCATCGACCGTGCGAAGATCCTGCGACCATTCAGGCAGCGGCAGCTTCGGGCACTGCGGCGTTGGGTCGTCGTCGAACCGGTCCGCGAAAATGTCATCCCACGTTAGGTCTTCAAGAAGCGGCGGCGCGGCGAGCGGGACGAGTTGAAACCCCGCCTGCTTGGTCTGCTTGATGATTCTTCTGTCGACGTTGAACGCCGCGACGCGCGTTATTCTAAACGTCTTCCATTGAATATGTCCTGGTTGTTGCTCCTTGAGCTCCGCGCTTTCTGGCGGCGATAGCGGAGGGGGATACTGATCCTCCCACCATTGAAGCGTTGCCAGCCCACGTGTAAAGACCTCCACGTGGCTGGGACTGATTGGCCTCATCACGATTGAGAGAGCGTCGTCAAGAACCGTCGGATTAAGGAGGATGAGAGAGAAGAGCAGGGAAGCGACGGCGATTGCCGCCCACTGGCTCATGCGATTGGGTGGCGGCTGCTGTAGCCCCTTCAATGGCTTCTGCGGGTCTAGGAGCCATCGGTCGTAGGACTTGGACTTAGAGAGTTTCGCGATGCCTCGAGGAGCGAAAGGATCTTCTGGCGACTGCTCCATTATAGTGCAAGGAGGACGAGAGCTGGTAAGTCGCCTGTCAATTTTGACGACCTGTGTCTGCTTATGGATGGACTTGTAGTATTTCTTATGTCAGATCGGCCACTGAGGTTCCTAATGATCCGTCGATACCTGTCGTATCGACGAAGATGAGGCGATCAGACAGGATGGAAAGCCAGAAGCAGTTCGAGCCAAGGCAATGCAGGACCAGCGGCGTTGCCAGGGCCTGTGTGATAAGCAAATTTCAACTGGCTACTGAAGTTGCTGACAGTGGAAATAAAGCAACAGTACAGTCAGCCAGACATTGCCCTCACGAAACAGAAGCGCATTGTTCGGAAAAGCGACGCGAATAACCCGAACCAAGCAGCACTAGTGAACTGTAACTGGTCGTCGTATACGGTTTAGTTCGTTTTGTCAAGATTTAACACGGTCCGCTTGCGTTAACAGCAGCATCGAATCAAACCGTGAGAAATATTAAATTTCGAACCGCACTTGAAACCCAACGAACCTCACAAAGCCCCCCACGGCCCTCTTGCGTCGAATCACGAGTGTCCTTCAAGCCCCACACATGCCGAACCGCATGTGCACGTCGGAAAATTCGCTCCGCAAGCTCCTCATTCAACCGAACCAGAACGCAAAGCTCGACTCCGTTGGTTGCGGAAAGCCTCTCGCGCCTCGTCGCAGGTGGTGCCAGCAATTTGAGCAGAACCCAGCAATTGAAGGTTGTGATTGGTTGTTTCTGTGGTAACTCGCGAGTGTTGGCACGAACTGTCCGCTCCAAGGGTGTGCTCGTCGAGCCGTTCCGCGCGTTCAACGAATGGCGGCATGTGTGCCGTCAACGAAATACGGCAGCTGTGAAGTCAAGAATGCAGGTGAAACGTCAAGTCTGCGAAATTGCGAATCGCAGACCTTTCGCATGAGAAGGGGGAAAAGATACGTGGGTGTGGCGGTTTCGTCGTGCTGGATTTCGCGGAGACGGCATAAAATATCGACCTTTCATCTTCATTAGGGCGCGTGTGGTCTGTTCGGAAGTTCAAAATAAAGTTAGAACTTTGGGTGGTTACCCTATTCGCTAATTTCGCAAAGGGTGCTTCGCGAACCAAGCATTGTATGGGCTCTGCAAAAGTTCGAGTTTGAAATATGAACTTGACTCGAGTCAGAGGCGGGAACGTGCGTGCGCACGTTCATGCGAGCGTGTGTGATTTGCAGCACGTCCGAACAGCTGGCGAAACGGGCGAGCGCTTCGCCAGTGCATGAAGTTGCACAACGAAGACACCCCACAATTCGTGCACACAGTGGTAGCCACGTGTCCAGCATCGTGGCACGTTCGAGCACGATGTGGCAACGCGTCCCGCCCGTCTTGACGTCAGTCAAAGAACGGGAAGCATCACCATCTGCAAGTACCCCTGCCATACGATGCCGAGAAAGCGGACCAGCTGTAGGGTTGTCATGTTGGGCGAATGACGAGTATACAAGGTGTTGCCACGGGGGCTATTTGTACCCTGGTTACACACTCAGTGGGAAGGTGAGTTGGAGCTCTAGGTCCTTGTAAACCGAGGCGCAAAATGTTGACGTGGCGCACTGTCAAGACGAGCGAACCGGGTAACCTATGATGTTGACGTGCGGCTCGGCTCGTTTTTACAAGTTCGAATGTCGGGGTTCGACCTTGTATGTGTGTGTGATTTTTTACAGTGTGGTAAGCCCGATGTTCGAACTTCGATAGAAGGAAATTCGAACTTCTTTCGTTGTAAGTTCAAAACTAAAATTCGCCCTAAAAACATAAACTTTTACAAATTTCAAAGACCACACGCGCCCTTAGCGCAGTTCGCTTGTCTCCACAAGAGTAGCTGTTATTATGGAAAAGGAAGTGTTCTATAGTTTGAATGCGTCTACACAAAGTTGACCACACCTCACTGGAAACACTCTTTTGACCTAGTGAATGAAGATAACCCAGCCTCAAGCGTCACTAGAAGCCTCATCACGTCAGCAACCAGGCAAAACATAATGTTGTTTGACATACACTTTTGAGTAGAAGATGAGAGACACCCGTGCATCATCCACAAGCAAATGACAGTCTATATCAAAAGTGGCAAAGCGAAACCGCTACCCTCACCCTCCCTCTTCCAGTCCGTAGTCTTCCCCAAAATATGTGTCGACAAGATAGCTTGACATGGAGTGTAGCTCCTGATTGCCTATATATTGGGCTGCTTCTATTGCATCAATGCCGTCTGCCTCCTCCACTAGCCGGGGGCCTCTTTTGTCCGGTAGTACACGCAGAACCTACACAATGAGACGATAAATGGAGAATAAAGCGAAGTGATGAGGACCGCAGCAGAACATGCCATTAGTGTGCGTTTGAGAGCATGCATGTGTACCCAAACGCATGTGCGAGCAAGTACATGTGTGCATTTGTGTGCACATGCATACATGTGTGCCTGCATGAGCGTGTCACTGTATGGGTGCACGTGGATGCGTCCATGAGTCCCATGTGTGTGTGAATGCATGTGTGCATCCGCGAAAATCCGTCCTTGCTTCTCCAGCCCATACCTTACTCCCCTCACAGACCTTACCACCACTATATGCATCTCATCACAACAGCCACCACCAGCCAAACTATCACCAGCAGCACCACCACCACCACTATCATGCCCTCACCACCGCACACCTTGCTACAGCCCTCCTCACCACCGCACACCTTGCTACAGCCCTCCTCACCACCGCACACCTTGCTACAGCCCTCCTCACCACCGCACACCTTGCTACAGCCCTCCTCACCACCGCACACCTTTCTCTACCCATCCTCACCACTTCAGTGAACTGCAGACCCAGCCGCACAGCATCGGCGTCAGCGGAGCGGATGAGGGAGAGGAAGGGCGGCAGGCACCCCGCGGCCACTAGTGCTGCCACGCGCGACTGCTGGACCGCCACGTGGCGCTCTCCCATTGGCTCTTGCTCCGCAGGATCCACACAGAGATTCGCTGCCAGAAGATTAGATTCGGATGGGATCATATTAGGGTGACTTTTTGACTTGAATTAAATGTCACCTTAACCATATGCAAGGTCTAAATCGGGTGACAGAAGAATGGCTGAAAGCGTATTATGTGAAGAGCGCAGAAGAGCCTTTGCTTGGATGGATAAAAAAGAAATTCGATTACGAAGTGAGAAGGAAAACACTTGGGCAGAAGAGAGAGTGAAGACAGCACATATGCAATGAGAGACTAAGATTGCGACTGCGCGCACACCAGCACAAGGGTACTCTTAAAAATTTCCCCTGCATAACTAGCACGAGCACAAGCCGCAACGTGACTGACCGAGAGCAAAGGCGACTTCTCTCTTCACGTCAAAGGGTGCCATGCGGAGCAAGTGCACGAGCAGCTCGTATAGCCTCGACATGACTGACTGAGAGTCAAGGGTCGACTGACTGAGAGCTTAGGGCGAGTGGCCAAGAGCAAAAATGACTGACCGAGAGCAAAGGCGACTTCTCTCTTGATGTCGAAGGGTGACGTGCGGAGCAAGTGAACGAGCAGATGGTACAGCCTCGACGCCCCGCCTGCTTCTCCCATCGCCCCTGTGTCTCCACCAATCACAGCCGCCTTGTGCCAGCTGTCGCCAGCTGTCACGTTGGACACTGCCCACGCTGTCTCCTGCGAGGGGGAGCACATAGGAGCATACTAGAGGCGCATCAGATCTGAAAGGTTTCACAGGAAAACATTTAGTTGCCTCTGAAAGGCTACTTATCACGTGCCTCACGAAGCTGTGCTGTCCGGTCGAGCACCGAACGCTCCACACGGTCTCCCGTTGGAGCATCCCGCAGGGGCTTCCTTTTGAGTCGACTCAAAAGTCAAGTCGACTGGAGTAGTTCTGCACTGGAGGATCTTCCTTTTGAGTCGACTCAAAAGTCAAGTCGACTCAAAAGTCAAGTCGACTCAAAAATCAAGTCGACTCAAAAGTAAAGTCCACTCAAAAATCAAGTCGACTCAAAAGTCAAGCCCACTCAAAAATCAAGTCGACTCATAAGTCAAGTCGACTAACAAGTCAGGACAGTTCCTGAGAGGCGCCCCATGATTTCCCAGCTGTCTGTAATGCTGGACACAGCAGACGCTGACTCCCCAAGGCACACACAAAGAGGAGCAGACGACCGAAGTTAGTTACCCATGTTTCTTGCACATTCCAGGGTAGATTTCAAGTGTGAGCGTGCATGCATGCGCGCGCGGGTGCGTACGTGCCCTCTTCAAATCGTGGTGTTTACTTATCACGGTAATCGACAAGTCCAGATAACTCTTTCTGCTGCTGCTGCTGTTACACAATCAGCCCTCCTCTCACCTTCTTCAGCCCATGGTGTTTGTTCTCCAGGCACTCCGCCAGTCCCAACAGCCAAGGTTATTGCTGGTGCTACTGTGTCACACTGACCTCCTCATCTCACCTTCTTCAGCCCATGGTGTTTGTTCTCAAGACAATCTGCCAGTCCTAACAACCCGGGCCCTGCCGCTGCTGCTGCTACCACACCCGGTGGGGCTGGGGCAGCGATGGCTTGGGCTGTTGCAAACAGATGAAACAGAAAAGACGGGATGGGGAGTGGGAGTCAGGAGAATCTGGCGCCTTGATAGCCCCGATTTGGCTGCTGTTGCCACCACCCCCGGAAGGGCTGGGCTGTTGTTGGGGCGCATGACGAGAGGAGAGGTGGAGTGGGGAATGGGTGGTGTGGGGAATGGGAGTTGAGATAGCTCGATAATTAGGTAATAGCAGAAGAAGTAGCTTCAAATCGAATTTTGAAATGTCTCAAAAGTGGAGAGAGTTCGACACTTGGGTGATAGCAGAAGAGGTAGGATCAACTCGAGGTGACTTTTGAGTCGACTCAAAAGTCACCACAACACTTCAGTGACAGCAGAAGAGGTGGGCCCAACTCGGCTGCTGATGGCATAGCAGGCAGGCAGCCCGATTCTTGAGACGTCTCAAGAGTCGATTCGGCTGCTGCTGGTGCTACTGTTTTGAGACGTCTCAAAACACTTCTTCAAACACAGGCAGCCCGATTCTTGAGACGTCTCAAGAGTCGATTCGGCTGCTGCTGGTGCTACTGTTTTGAGACATCTCAAAACACTTCTTCAAACACAGGCAGCCTGATTCTTGAGACGTCTCAAGAGTCGATTCGGCTGCTGCTGGTGCTACTGTTTTGAGACGTCTCAAAACACTTCTTCAAACACAGGCAGCCCGATTCTTGAGACGTCTCAAGAGTCGATTCGGCTGCTGCTGGTGCTACTGTTTTGAGACGTCTCAAAACACTTCTTCAAACACAGGCAGCCCGATTCTTGAGACGTCTCAAGAGTCGATTCGGCTGCTGCTGGTGCTACTGTTTTGAGACGTCTCAAAATACTTCTTCAAACACAGGCAGCCCGATTCTTGAGACGTCTCAAAAGTCAATTCGGCTGCTGCTGGTGCTACTGTTTTGAGACGTCTCAAAACACTTCTTCAAACACAGGCAGCCCGATTCTTGAGACGTCTCAAAAGTCGATTCGGCTGCTGCTGGTGCTACTGCCACAACAACTGGTGGGTTGAGCAATTGCTAGAGAGGTGGAGGAGAAAGGTTAAGGGATAGGCAGCAGCACACAGGGAGCAGAACAGCTCATCGACGCTAGTGGTACAAAACCTACACCAATTGGAAGGGATGCCAAAAGGTTGGATTAGCACGAAGGGGATGTATGTACCTTGGAAGGGCGTGCCAGCTGTCAGCAGGCGAGTGGTTCTGCTGGAATCTCCTGCTGTCAGGTTGCCTATTGCCCGCACCACCTTCGTCGAGCGTGGTTTGGGTGAGAGCGGTTGGAGAGACAGCAGCACGTGCCAGGGGTCAGAATAAAAGTTACGTGGTATTGATACGATATGATGAGACTTTTGAGTCGACTCAGAAGTGACGTGGGATTGATAATTGATACGATATGATATGATATGATGGACGCATGGGTTGGGATGGGAAGATGGCAAGTGAGAGTGGGGCGACAGAAGCATGTGCACCAGTTGATGCTAGCGAGTGGCTTGGTACTGACATGACACGCGCACGGCACGGGAACATGGCAAGGGAATGCCACGACATAACATGACATGGCTTGGCATGGCATGGCATGATATGGCATGGCATGCTATACACAAGGACATGCAGATACAATAGCCCATGGATCAGTTATTGAGACGTCTCAAAAGTCAACTACACGGCCCATAGATTAGGCCTGATAGAAGAGTGACTGGGACGGCATAGGCCTCTACGAGCCCGGTGGCGACTAGCAGACTACTTTTGACGCGCCTCAAAACTGGACACGGTGACTCAAGCATGGGCCGAGGCACAAGCAGCAGGAGTGAGTAGGGCAACGTCAGTGGTGGAAGAGAGCAGAGGCATGAGGGCCTCTATGAGCCCAGCAGCGACTAGCAGACAAGGACACGGTGACTCAAGCATGGGCCGAGGCATATACAGGAGTGAGTAGGGCAACGTCAGTGGTCGCAGAGAGCAGAGGCACGAGGGCCTTTATGAGCCCGGCAGCAACGAGCAGATGAGGAAAGCGTGCCTTATGGCCGGGAAGGGAGCGAGGGAACGTACAGGAGTGAGGAGAGCGACGTCAGTGGTGGAGGAGAGCAGGGGCACGAGGGCCTCTATGAGCCCGGCAGCCACGAGCCTCTCTGTGCTAGCATCTGACAGCGCTGTCACGTACGCCGCCACCCATGCCGCCTCCACTGCTGCCTCTGCATTGCTGGTTGGGTAGGGAAAGTTACAAGGTGGTCATGAGGCCAGTGCTACTGGGAACAGGGAGAGCAGCGGCACGAGGGCCTCTATGAGCCCAGCTGCGACAAGCCTCTCTGTGCTCGCGTCTGACAGTGCTGTCACGTACGCCGCCACCCATGCCGCCTCCACTGCTGCCTATGCGTTGCTGTGAGGGTGGGGAGGGCGAGGCACAGGGCGGTGGAAAATGCAACAATGCTGATAGATTGGGGAGAGCCATAAGGAGAGCGAGGTGACTCAAAAGTCACCAGGGGAATGAAAAAGACAACAATGCTGATATATTGGGGAGAGCCATAAGGAGAGCGAGGTGACTCAAAAGTCACCAGGGGGATGAAAAAGGAAACAATGCTGTTAGATTGGGGAAAGCCATAAGGAGAGCGAGGTGACTCAAAAGTCACCAGGGGGATGAAAAAGGAAACAATGCTGTTAGATTGGGGAAAGCCATAAGGAGAGCGGCGCTGTCACACATGCCGCCCGCCACCCACGCTCCCTCCACCGCCACCGCCTCTTGCAGAGAAGGCTCGGATGTAAGGAGAATGAAGGATGAATGCGGAAAAGAAGAGGTGAACTTTTGAGATGCATCAAAAGGCTCGGATGTAAGGAAAATGAAGGATGCATGCGGAATAGAAGAGGTGAATATCGATATGAGGGAGGATGGAGGCAGGGGAAAAGAACACTCCAGGCGTGTTTTGAGATAGGAGAGATATGGAACGATGGAGCAACGGGGAACGGGGCACAGGGGCACAAGGGGACAGGGGTACACCCACCACACTCCCACACCCTCCACACTCCCACACCCTCCACACTCCCACACCCTCCACACTCCCACACCCTCCACACTCCCACACCCTCCACACTCCCACACCCTCCACACTCTCACACCCTCCACACTCCTCACACCCTCCACACTCCCACACCCTCCACACTCTCACACCCTCCACACTCTCACACCCTCCACACTCTCACACCCTCACCACTCCCACACCCTCCACATTCGCAGCAACCCCTCCCCTACCCTGAGGACAGAAGGGTCACAATCGCTGCATCAACACCGTCCGATTTCACCAGATCAACGGCTGCACGGGGGCTGGGGCCCTGCAAAGGCACACAGGGGAACGACAGGGAGTAGGAAAAGATGCTGAGGCTCGTTTACTTTTTGAGGCGCCTAAAACAAGTACACACAAGGGGGAAAGGAGGGTGTGCACCGGCCTGGAGGAGGTACACACGGGGGAGGTACACACGGGGGAGGTACATATGGGGGAGGTACACACGGGGGAGGATCCAGAGAGCCACCCCAGCCCAGAGTGACCTGCGGGGAAGCCATGCCATGACAGGCCCATCCCCCGCCCACCCACATTGATGTGGCAGAAGCAAGCAGTGCGCGAACAATACAGGCAACACCCCCCTATACTGCTGCGCGCAGAACTGCCGTGCGTGGTTTCCCCCAAGGGCAACAGCAGCAGCAGTAGGAGTAGTCATTGAGCAGGAGGCAGCAGCAGTGGGAGTAGTCATTGAGCAGGAGGCAGCAGCAGTGAGCAGCAGCAGCGGGAGCAGTGAGCAGGGGGCTAACTCTGACCACGCACGCACGCTACCGGGAATCCAACAGCAGCGTGCGTTGTCGCGTTATTAACACTTAGCCGGCAACTAAGTGTGAATTTCGCAGCAGCCAAGGTGAGGGTGTACTATAGTTTACTGCTTTTCGCATTTTTACTTTGTGTGCTTGCTTTGGAAGGTTACTGTACTATACAGAGTCGAGCTGCTGAGGATTTCGAGGAGGTTGATGAGGAGGTTGGTGGCGAATTCGATTCCAGCCAGCCTGGGAATTCAATTCGCCATTCACCAGGCTGGAAGGCGGTGCATGCCTAGTGGGCCCAGTGGGACCCCCAGCTAGCACCTTGAAGCCTACGCGATCAGCTCAGCTGACTCGCGCTTAGGGGTAGAGGTAGCTTGCGGGACAAGGCAACTAGGCAGGAGGGGATGTAGACTGGGGTAGCGCTCAGACTCGTTGCTTTTTGCTTGTATGTTTCTCGTTTACTGCAATTTGCTTTCCTAATCCGAAGGGAACTAGCAGTAGGAGAAGCTAACAGCAATCTGACTGAGCCCTTGCGAGGGAGTTTAAACTTGTTGCATACAAGCAAAAAGACTGCTTACGACTGTCTAGAGTACAGGGGACAGGCTTGACCGCCTGGAGTAGAGCACGGTGATGCGCCGTGAGGCATGAGTGAATTCGATCAGGAGCTTCATACTCATCAACTGCGCTCGGGTCACCGATTCCCTGCGAGGATGATGGAGGGACGTGATCCGCCAATTAGGACGCCTGGATTTCGCGCGGGAGAGGGAGATAACAACGTACGTGGTAATCAAGGATCGGATCGGGAGAAGGAAGGGAGTGGACGGAGAGAACCACCGCTCAGCTCAGCTTGTGATTCACCGGCAGGCGGAAGCGGAATTCGCCCTGTAGGGACTGGACCTAGACGAGGACCTCCTGATCTGGGAGGGGAAGATAATTACGAAGAACGGCGAAGTCAGAAAGGAGGAGACGATCACCATGAAGAACGACGAAGCTTGCGAGAAGGAGACGACCAGCAAGAAGAGCGGCGAAGTCAGAGAGGAGGAGAACAGTATCATGGATTCTCAGCGGGTGTGTACGAAGCCATGGAGGCTGGAAGAGGAGGCCGGCCTGCTGGGAGTGGAGAAAGAGGGACGACAAGCTGGGGAACTGGCAGATCGATGAACGCTGCACCACCGAAAATCGAGGTGCCAGATCGCTTCTCGGGGACGCCGGGAGAAGAGCCTACGCTAAAGAACTACCTCATGATGATAGACGACATCCGCTACTGCTGGGATAGGGAAGGGCTGGATCCCATCGAATTTTTCAGAGGTTTGGGAAGGACTCTTAAGGGAGAAGCGCTGACGCATTACCGTGTGGAGAGACAGGGGCTGCTGATGCAGAATAAGAGAGGGGACTTCCCAGCTGCGATGATCACGGACCGGTTTTTGGAAAGTCTGCAAGAACAATTCCCGGGGCATTCGGCAGACAGGATGGCAGAATTTCAGAACTTCATTCGAGCCACTCCAGAATCGCTGCTGGCCTATTACAACAGGCTGCTGGAGCTGGCGGAGGACATGGGCTGCATGGAAGAACGTATCTTGGTGACTAAGTTTGTCAACGGGCTGGATAAAGACTTGATAAGTGACATGAGGAGCCGGCTCTACTCCCTGGGAGTACGAGCCACGCTGCGGCAGGTATACCAGGTGGCGAAAGAAGTGGAAGAAGGGAAGCGGTTTTATGATGGCATGCAGGGGTCGAGTTCCAGTCGGCCGAACGAGCGAAGAAGGCCAGCTTGGGCAGCAGTGGAGGGCAGAAGGGGAGAGGAGGAGCGAAGAGACAGGCCGACAGAAGATACAAGGCGCTGTCATAAATGTGGAGAGCAGGGGCACCTGCGTAGGGATTGTGCTGTGGGGATAACATGCGACACCTGCGGAGCAAAGGGGCATTTCAGAAGAGATTGCCCCAAGGCGCCAATATGTTCCGGCTGCGGGAAGAGGGGACATACGGAAGCTAGATGTTACAGTAAGGGAGAGCGGACGAAAGGGAAATCAGCAAGGGAGTTACAGCTGGAACGGGAGCTGGCTAAACTGAAAGCTCAAATGGAGAAGGCAGAGATTAGCGAAGATCCGGAGAAGGCGCTGCTGGCTTGGGAGGATGATGAAGGAGAGGGGTCTAATGAGGGAGAGCCTGAGTATGGGACGATGGCTATACCACCAAGGGAAAGAGGGGATCTGGGACTGCGCAGTAAAGGAGTAGACGGCAGGGCAGAGCAGAAACAACAGGAGAAGAGAATTAGCAGGCAGCCGGAAGGGAGTGGAAGCTCAAGGACAGCGCGTCGTCATCCTGAAGAACGGCTCGTTTGCCAGCCTACAGCCTTAGTAGTGGAACCCAAAGCGGTAGCCGTACGGGGAATACTGGTGGAAAACGCAGTAGTGGATACGGGGGCACAAAGCGTGCTGATCGGAAAGAAGCTGACAGAGCAGCTGCGGGCCCAGGGAGAGTTGGAGATCGTGAGCAAAGGCGTACTGATCATGACAGCCGACGGCGGGGCCCCCAAATGGATGCCCTGCACGCGAGAACCGATCGAGATCACTCTACGGCCCGGGGAGAAAGGAGAGACGAAGATTAGAGTGCAATGTGGGCTGACCGAATCAGAAGACTACGACATATTACTTGGAATGGAGCTGCTGTTTAAGATAGGTACCATGATTTGTACTTGGGAAGAACAGGTGCTCTACCGCCCAGACTTTCGGGAAGAAGGGAAGGAGTTGAGTGAGTTGCCGGTACGATTCGTTAAGACAGAACCGAAGAAAGCCTGGAGGGCAGAAGGAGGGAGGAAGGAGAGCTTGCGAGGAGGGAGTTCAGAAAAGGAGAATGTTACCGCTAGATTAGATCAGTACAGTATTACCTTGGTGGAGCTGTTCGGGGGGCTGGGAGCAGGCTTGGCAGCAGCACTAGAAGCTGGACTGAAAGTGAAAAAGTGGGTATATGTGGAGTTAGACCCGGAAGTAAGGAAGATGGCGTGGAACCATGCTCTGATGCTACAACAGCAGTACCCAGTGCAGCTGACAAAGGGAGTGCTACGGGAAGCCATGCAGAACAAAAAGTGGGACGTGGGGCAGCTTACCAAGGAAGATGTGAGAAGCTGGGGGAAGGTGGATTTACTCGTGGCCGGATGGGAATGCCAGGGCACTTCCAGAGCAGGAAAGGGGAATGTCAGATTATCATAGCTGATGCATGTTTGTAGGCTATAGTGGGGTAGCACATATGGGGTACAGCTTTCTAGGGTTGTATTTGTACCCAACTCTGACTTAGTCATTTCATTCCTGTTCATTGATTCTCACATGGTATAGAGCGGGTCCTTCCTAAGGACCGTTTTTTTAAGGGCCCACCCACGATTTTTTTTCCTGCCCGGAGCGCGCCCTATTCTCCCCGAGGCGCGCTCCCCCCTAGTGCTTGTCGAGCTGCCCTTGTGGCGCCCCGCGAGTCGCGCGCGCGACTCCTTTTTTTTCGCGCGCGCGGCCCGGGCCCCACGTCGCGCTGGCCTTACGGCCGCGTCGCGCCGCCCTCTCGGCTCTGCTGCGCCCCGCCGCCCTCACGCCGGCCGCGCGGCCTCTTCGTCGCTGCAGCGGGCCCCGTCACCTGACGGCCCCGCCGTCCTCTTTTGACGGCCCCGCCGTCCCCTACTCTCGGCCCCGCCGTTGCAACCTGACGGCCCCGCCACTGCACCTGTCGGCCCCGCCGCTGCACCCTGACGGCCCCGCCGTCCCCTTTCCCGGCCCCGCCGCTGCACCCTGCCGGCCCCGCCGCTGCACCTCTGTCGGCCCCGCCGCTGCACCCTGACGGCCCCGCCGTCCCCTGTCACGGCCCCGCCGTCCCCTGTCACGGCCCCGCCGCTGCACCCTGACGGCCCCGCCGTCCCCTGTCCCGGCCCCGCCACTGCACCCTGCCGGCCCCGCCGCTGCACCCTGACGGCCCCGCCGTCCCCTGTCACGGCCCCGCCGCTGCACCCTGACGGCCCCGCCACTGCACCAGTCGGCCCCGCCGCTGCACCCTTACGGCCCCGCCGTCCCCTGTCCCGGCCCCGTCCTGCACCCGAGCCGCCCTGCCGCCGAGCCGCCCGGGAGCCGAGCCGCCCTGCACCCGAGCCGCCCTGCCGCCGAGCCGCCCGGGAGCCGAGCCGCCCTGCACCCGAGCCGCCCTGCCGCCGAGCCGCCCGGGCGCCGAGCCGCCCTGCACCCGAGCCGCCCTGCCGCCGAGCCGCCCGGGAGCCGAGCCGCCCAGCAGCCGAGTCGCTGAGTCGCCGAGCCGCCCTTCTGCAGAGTTGCCCGGCCTGCCCTGCCTGGTGAGCACAGTCGCACTGTCACTGCGTGCTCTTCCCCTACTGCTTGCACTGCTTCGCTGTCGTCGTCATGGCTACCCCCAGTGTCCTAGCTTTTGACGCTGAGGGTCGAGCCATTGACTTTGAGGTCTGGGTAGACGACCTGCAGTTGTTTTTACAGTGCGATAGGGCAGACGGCCTCTCTCTCTTTGACCTTACCTC